CTCTCTCTCTCTCTCTCTCCTCTCTCTCTCCCTCTCCTCTCTCCTCTCTCCTCTCTCTCTCCTCTCTCCTCTCTCCTCTCTCCTCTCTCCTCTCTCCTCTCTCTCCTCCCTCTCTCCTCTCTCCTCTCTCTCCTCTCTCCTCTCTCCTCTCTCCTCTCTCCTCTCTCCTCTCTCTCTCTCTCTCCTCTCTCCTCTCTCCTTCTCTCTCTCCTCTCTCCTCGTCTCCTCTCTCTCTCTCTCTCTCTCCTCTCTCCTCTCTCCTGTCTCCTGTCTCCTGTCTCCTGTCTCCTGTCTCCTGTCTCCCTCTCTCCTCTCTCTCTCTCTCTCTCTCTCTCTCTCTCTCTCTCTCTCTCTCTCTCTCTCTCTCTCTTTTCTGAGCAGCTGCTTACGCGCTGCTCGCGCGGCGTCGCGTCGCCGTCTTGCCTCGTCGCGCTGCAGCTGGCCGGGGGCGAGCTGCTCATCGGTCTCGCCATGCAGCTCGACTCCGTTGTTCTGGCCGCGCAGGAGATCAAGGCGCGCGTCGCCTTCTTGGCGATGGCGTGCGCGGGCCAGATCTGCGCCCGAAAGGGCGGCACATTCAAGCGTGGGGGGGAGACTGGATGCAGCGTGCGTGGCGCTGTATACATGCGTCTGGGCAAGTGTCGCAGCACTGGTTCACAGATCTGCCACTTGCTCGGCGCTGTGAGCCGATCGCAGAAGCAAGTGCGTCGAGCATCCCTCGGCTCTGAGCTGCTCGCAGCGTGCGGGGAGCAGACGGCCTGCGGGCGCCCTCCTGGCGCTCCGCGAGATGGTGCTCGGGCCCGCCTCGGCAGATGAGATCCGGAGGCCGTGTGAGGGGGCAGGCTGCGCTCTATTGGCTGCGCTGCTCGTGGACGGCGTGTCCGTCTTCTCCGCCCTGGCCGCGGGCCGCGCGCGGCCGCCGTCGGAGAGTAGCGCGGCGGGCCGCCGATGGTGGCTAGCAGACCAGCTGCGCACCGAACAGCTGTCCGACATGCTGTGGCGCGACGCCCGCGACGTGAGCGCCGACCCCATGACGGAAGGAAGTATCGGCCGGGAGTTCAACCTCGACATCGTGGACGTGTTCGGCTGCGAACACCTCAGAGTTCTATTGGGCGGGGAGTGGCGCGAGAAGACGGTGCCGAGCTTCAGCTGCGTCAACCTCAACAAGGACAACGACGACGCCACTAAGTGACCAACTCGGCGTCGCATGTCCGAACTGCGTTCGCATATGCGTCGACCGACTCGCATTTCGCGAAGCGTGGTCGGGAATGCGACGCAGCCCGTCAATGAGAGGAGAGAGGGATATGCAGTAGCCCGCGCATCGTGTACTATGTGCGCGAGTGCGATGCTGCCGATGTGATTGGGGGGAAGAGAAGCTACGCGTGATATGGACTGATGCCGCCAATTTTGTTAGTGGGGCGGCCAACATTATGGCAGTTGAGCGTGCGCTTAGTCGTTGTCACTGTGTGCTCCAGAAGGAGTGTCTGCCGCGTCGCAACTTTTTAAAGGAGCCTGGTCAGTAGAGTTCCCTAGGTGTAGCATCCTCTGTTCAGTGCAACTCCGTGCTGGGGCATGGTCAGTAGAAGGCGTCAGCCGCGCAACTTATTATATGAAGAGCCTAGTCAGTAGAAGGTTTTCGTATTGCACTGCGCACTGTAACTGTTTAGTGAGACCTCGGTAGTAAGAGGTCTTCGCTGGCTAGCGTGATTTTGCTTCGCTGATTTGGGTGTGGCTTGCACACCTGAGCCGGCGAGGCGCCGCAACAGTTCTGTTTGAGCGCCAGACCCGAACAGGACCTTATGTCATCAGCCCTTGCTAGCTCTGCCTGCCTTTAATCGTTTCTTCCCGCCGCTGTCGTTCATTGTTGTGTGGCCCGGGAGAATATCCTCCCGTGCCCGTTTTATACGTGTTTTAGTTCCAGCCGTGATATGCTGGTTATTGTAATCTCAAGGCAGCTCGCCTCTTTGGGCCCACCGCCAGCCCAAACGGCGAACATAAATCTGGCGTAGCCCCCCATGCATTCGAATGCCCACACTTCGTCCTCGTACTGCTCGTATTCCTCCCCGTCCTCCTCCCCATTCTGATCGTCGTCGTCGTCCTCCTCCTCGTCCTCCTCATCCTCCTCGCCATCCTCGTCTTCCTCCTGCTCCAGCCCCTCCTCGTCGCCCTCGTCTAGGACCTCGTCCACGTTTCTCCTCCTCCTCCTCCTGCTCATCTTCCTTCTCCTGGCACTTCGACGGCCGAGAAGAGAACGTCTCCCATCGGTTGCGCCATAGGTTGCGCCCCCGGCGGCCGAGAATACAATCGTCTCTTGTCGGTTGCGCCATAGGTTGCGTCCTCGGCGGCCGAGAATATAACCGTTTCCTATCGGTTGCGTTATATGTTGCGCCCTCAACGGCCAAAGGTAGACACCGTCTCCTATCGCTTGCGCCATAGGTTGCCCCTTCGGCGGCCGAGAAAAGAACCGTCTCGTATCAGTTGCGCCGTAGGTTTCGCCCTCGGCGGCAGAAATTATAATCGTCTCCTATCGGTTACGCCATATGTTGCCCCGTCGGCTGCCAAGGAACAACTTTGTCGGATCGGTTGCTCCGTAGGTTGCGCCTTCGGCGGCCGAGAAAAAACCGTCTCATATCGGTTGCGCTGTAGGTTGCGCCCTCGGCGGCCGAGAATACAACCGTCTCCCATCAGTTGCGCCGTAGGTTGCGCCCTTGGCTGCCGAGAATAGAACCCGCTCCTATCGGTTGCGCCATAGGTTGCGCCTTCGGCGTCCGAGAAAAAAAACCGTCTCGTATCGGTTGCGCTGTAGGGTGCGCCATCGGCGGCCGAGGAAAAAAACTGTTTCGCATCGGTTGCGCCATATGGGTTGCGCCCTCGGCGGCGGAACAAAAAAACATAGCGCTCCTATCGGTTGCGCCATATATAGATATGTATGTAAATATATGTATATATGTATGTATGTATGTATATATATATTATATATATATAATATATATATATATATATATATATATATTCCTTTTCTATATTTTTATAAGCCCGGGCGGGGGGAAAACCCGTCCCCCCCCCCCCGAAAGCGGACTCCCGGGATCTGGGGCTTTGGGGCCCTTCGGACGGGCCTCTAAGCGGCCCCCCGGGCCTCGCAGGGCGTTTAGCCAAGCCTTCGCAACACTCCTAGGGCGATCAGGGGGGTCATCGGAGACGTCCTGGAGAACCCGAGGACAGCACAAGAGCGCTCCAAGAAGCCGTCATACCCCGAAAGATCGCTCCAAAACGTACCAAGAGGCCTCCAAGAACACCCCCAAGAAGGCCCCAAGAGGGACAAATAATTGATTTAATGTAGATTTTTGGTGAATTTGGGGTTCTCATCTTTTCGGCTTCCCGACACTCCAAGACAGCGGTCATCTGGGCGTCCGAAGTCGCCTGGAAGGCTCCAAAACCGCCCCACAGCCATCCGAAAGGGCTTCAAGGCAGTCCAAGAGAGCCCCAAAACGGCGCACCAGGGGTCCAAAATGGCCCTAAGAGAGCCCCATGGCGGCCCAAGATGGCCCCAAGACACCCTCCGAAGCATTCCAAATCGTGACCTGGGCGTTCAGGGAGACCGCGGTTAAATGCATGTTGCCCTTAGGAAGCCCCAGAGGCCCCCAGAACACGCCCAGGAGGCCTCCAGAAGGCTTAGGGAAGCTTGAGAACTTTGGTGAGGCCCCCAAAGGCTCTCCAAGGAGGACCCTCCGCAAAAAGAGCTGAGGAGGATGGGGAGAATGCCCAGGGTATGGCGAGAATGAGGAAAAGTAAGCATGGAGCCAGGATAACGAACAACATTATCATAATGGCGATGCCAGAAAAGGCAGCAAGGAGTTATCGTTAAAGTGTCCGCTTGACCTTCCTGCCTTTTCCACCTGCGTAGCAATCTTCAAGGACCAAGGTGCATGGCGCGAAGCGCCACTGCAGTCTTGTGTGTGTATATATATATATATATATATATATATATGTTGCGCCCTCGGCGGCTGAGAATACAACCGTCTCCTATCGGTTGCGCCACATATGTTGCGCCCTCGGCGGCTGAGAATAAGAATAATACCGTCTCCTATGGGTTGCGCCATATAGGTTGCGCACTCGGTGGCCGAACATAAATTCCGTTCCGTATCGGTTGCGCCATAGGTTGCGCCCTCGGTGGCCGAGAAAAGAACCGTCTCCTATCGGTTGTGCCGTAGGTTGCGCCCTCGACGGCCGAGAATATAACCGTTTCCTGTCGGTTGCGTTATATGTTGCTCCCTCGGCGGCCGAGAAAAAACCGTCTCATATCGGTTGCGCTGTAAGTTGCGCCCTCGGCGCCGAGACTAAGCCGTGTCCTACCGGTTGCGCCATATAGGTTGCGCACTCGGCGGCTGAGAATACAACCGTCTCCTATTGGTTGCGCCACATATGTTGCGCCCTCAGTGGCCGAAAATAAATACCGTCTCCAATTGGTTGCGCCATAGGTTGCGCCCTCGGCGGCCGAGAATATAACCGTCTCCTATCTGTTGCGCCATATTTATGTTGCGCCCTCAGCGGTCGAACGTAGATACCGTCTCCTAAGAGTTGCGCCGTAGGTTGCGCCCTTGGCGGCCCACACTAGAACCGTCTCCTATCGGTTGCGCCATAGGTTGCGGCTTTGGCGGTCGAGAGTAGAACCATATCCTATCGGTTGCTCCCTCGTCAATAAAACCGTCGCGTAACGGGTGCGACCAGTTTGTTCAGTTCAGTTCAGTTCACTTCACTTCACTTCAGTTCAGTCGGTGTACTTCTCGAGAGACAAATTCTGGTTACGCCCGAACAAAGTACTGCCATGACCGCACACCCTCATTTTTCGTGACGTCGTCGTCGGCCTCCTCGTTGTCGTCGTCGTCGTCGTCCTTGTCGTCGTCGTCGTCGTCGTCGTCGTCGTCGTTGTCCTCGTCGTCGTCGTCCTCGTCGTCGTCGTTGTAGTCGTTTTTTGAGGGAGCCCCTTCGCAGGCCCCGCGAGCAAGCGCGCCCGCCGGGCCCATGCGGCCGCCGCCGACGCGGGCGCGCCCGTGCCGCTGCCGCTGCGGGCCGGGCTCGTTGTGAAGGCTGCGCTGCCGCCGCGTGGGCGGGGGGTCAGGAATCATCATAGTAGTAGTAGTAGTAGTAGTAGTAGTAGTAGTAGTAGTAGTAGTAGTAGTAGTAGTAGCAGTAGTAGTAGTAGTAGTAGTAGTAGTAGTAGTAGTAGTAGTAGTTGTAGTAGTAGTAGTAGTAAAAAAGAAGGAAGCGAACATAACCAATATTGGGTATAACGTTAATGATACGATTAGTGATACGATTAAGCATGAATGCGTAGCGAAGTGCAACACATACACTTGCTAAGAGCAATTGTATTGTCATCATTCGGCATACTGAGAACATTTACCAGCGTGGACCCAAACAGTGTGTTTCTAGCAATATATGGTGTGCACTCTACGTGTTGCAATCTAGGTTGTGCATTCTTTGTGGTGCAATGTGTGTGGTGCAATATACGTTGTATCTCTGCATGGTGCAACATCTGTTGTGCAATCCATGTAGTGCAAACTTTGCGATTCAATCTGTGTTGTGCAAGCTATGTGGTGCAGTCAGAGAGGTACAATATATGTGGTGCAATCTATTTTGTTCAACATATGTGGTGCAATCTAGGTGGTGCAATCTATGTTGTGCATTTTCTGTGATGCAACTTATGTTGTGCAATCCATGTGGTGCAATGCGTATCCACCTATGTTGTGCAAGGTAGGTGGTGAAATCGAAATGGTGCAGTCTATGGGGATCAATCTATGTGATGCACTCTAGTTGGTGCAATCTATGTCGTGTATTCAATGTGTTGAAATATGAGGTGGTGCACTCGATGTGGTGCAATGCATGTTGTGCGGTTCATGTGGTGCAGTCGGAGCGGTGCAAGCTATGCTGTGCAAGCTGTGCTGTGCAATCTGCGCGGAGCAATCTGCGCGGTGCAGTCTTCGAGGCACAATCTCTGCGGTGCAATCTGCGTGGTGCGGGCCAGTGTGGCGACGCGGCGGCGACGAGGCGGCGACGAGGCGGCCGCGCAGCCGCCAGGCCGAAGACGCGGCCCGGACGACGGGCGGCGACGAGCCACGGCGACGGAGCGGCGACGGAGGCCTGGTGGCCGCCAGACCGAACACGTGGCCCAGTACTCAAGGGCATGAAAAAACGCCCCTACCCTGGTTTACGAGGCGCTGTGCGCTGAAACTCCTGTGGGCTGACAGGGTAAACCCTGCGTGATGTGCCGCGTCCTGGCGGCTCTAGGCTTTGGGGGGTCCCAGGAGGTTTACAGACTAGCACTTGTAACCCAGGGTAGGGTAGTTTTTTTTTTTCATCCCTCAAAGTACCTTAGAACATCATAAAGGCTCCCCAGGTGCAAGCACTGTCTGAGGCAGAAAAACGCGCCGTGTGTCCCGCGGACACATGGGCAACAGGGGCACGGCAGCGATCGGCGGGTGCTCGGCTTCGCCTCGCCTGCCTGTGGCCCTCTGGCTCGCATTGTTGCGAAAAGAGGGCGATGAGGAGGAGGAGGAGGAGGAGGAGGAGGAGGAGGAAGGAGGAGGAGGAGGAGGAGGAGGAGGAGGAGGAGGGAGGAGGAGGAGGAGGAGGAGGAGGAGGAGGAGGAGGAGGAGGAGGAGGCGGAGGAGGAGGAGGAGGAGGAGGATGAGGAGGGAGGGAGGAGGAGGAGTGAGGAGGAGGAGATGAGGATGAGGATGAGATGAGGATCAGAGGAGGAGGAGGAGGAGGAGGAGGAGGAGGAGGAGGAGGAGGAGGAGGAGGAGGAGGAGGAGGAGGGACAGGAGGAGGAGGGAGGAGGAGGAGGAGGACGAGGAGGAGGAGGAGGAGTATCAGGAGGAGGAGGAGGAGAAGGAGGGAGGGGGTCGGTGGGTCAGCGGCAACGTTCATTGTTAACGCCTCGCGTATCCCCACCAGCCCTTCCAGACACGATGCCCAGCGGAACTGCCTTGCACGAGGGAGCGTAATATTAATAGATGCCGGTGGGCTTCAGTGAACTAGAAGCTTTTTGGATGCCTCTCGGCGTCGCTTGGGATGTCTCCTGGGGGGCTCTTGGTGGCATCTTAGGGCAGCTCGGGGGACTCTTGGAGACTCTTCGGTGCGGGGGTCAGGGGCAACGTCAATCATGCTCGAGGCTCGATGATCCCAGATCTCCGACGTCATGATTCCGTCAATTAGGGACATTTTTGTTCTTGATTTCGGCTTCTGGTGCCCGTTCTCAGGCCCCGGGACCATTACACTTAGATCCGGGACGAAACACTACCCCCGGGGGAGGGGTCGGGACTCTTGGGGCCACGAACTAAAAAAAAATAACAACTCATCTAGGCGGACGTCAGGGCCAGAGATTTTCGGACGTTCTCGTCGGTCCTTGGCGGCTTTCCAGCCTCTGTTGCTCTGCAGCAGCTGCGCCTCGCCAAGAGCGTTCCGGGGGCGCCCAGGTCGTCCCGAAGGTCCGCCGGAAGGCCGAGCTGTGGCCCCAAACCAATCGGGGACGGGATTGGGCTCAGGGGGGATGCATCGACCAGGAGGAGGAGGAGGAGGAGGAGGAGGAGGAGGAGGAGGAGGAGGAGGAGGAGGAGGAGGAGGAGGAGGAGGAGGAGGAGGAGGAGGAGGAGGAGGAGGAGGAGGAGGGACCCCCATCGCCCGCTGATCGCCGATAGGGGCCCTGTAGCCCTCCCCGCCCGGTAGCGCGCGGGCTCGCTGTCTGGGGCCTCTCGCCGATCGCTCGGCGCTGCATCGCCGCTGCCAGGCCGTTGCTCCGCCTCCGGAGCCGGTCTCCCGCCAACGCTCCCCTGCACGGCGTGGGCTGGGCGGGATGGGCAGGGCTCGGAGGGGCCCGCCGCATACAGCACGTCGTGGGCCTCCTCCTCCTCCTCCTCCTCCTCCTCCTCCTCCTCCTCCTCCTCCTCCCTCCTCCTCCTCCTCCTCTCCTCCTCCCCCTCACCCTCCTCCTCCTCCTCCTCCTCCTCCTCCTCCTCCTTCCTCCTCCTCCTCCTCCTCCTCCTCCTCCTCCTCCTCCTCCTCCTCCTCCTCCTCCTCCTCCTCCTCCTCCTCCCCTCCCCCTCCTCCAGGAGCTCGGCGGAGGAGTTCGGTGTATGGGCGCTCCAGCGTCCCGCAGGTCGGGGAGCCGGGGCGGCTCGCGCAGCGGCCAGGATGGTTATGTCGGCACACCTCTCACGCAGATCGTGCCCACCGGCTCCACCTGCGGCCCCGGTGGGGCGCGTTCGCATGGCGGCCCAGCGCGCATCTCGCCACGCTCCTCACACAGATCGGGCCCCCACACAGTGTGCCCCCTGCACGGCTTGGAGGGGCTCGCTGTATACACCACGTCGTTTGTCAAGGAAGCGCAAGCATGTGTTGAGGCGGCGCGCGGGTGAGCGACGGGTCCGTTTTCCATGCTCAAGCGGCGCGTTCCGCCGCCAAACCTTGCAGCATTGGCTCTATTTTTCGGGGGGTACCTTCCCCAGTCCGTGGATCTGGCGAGTTTTGGTCGGGCAAGGGGCCAAGGAGTTCGGCGAAGGAATTCGGCATATGGGCGCTCCAGCGTCCCACGGGCTGGGAGGCTGCCTCGGCCGACCTGGCCGCTTGGTGCATGCTTCGAGCTACGCTCCCAAGGGCTCGAAGACTGGGCTCGCTGGGGCCCGAAGCCACGCGCGGATTCGAGGAACGTGCGGTCTCGCTGTCGGGTGCCCATCGCCGATCTATAGTCGATTGAAGCTGAATGCTTCCCCTCTGAGCTGGTCCCCCCTATCGTTCCCCCTTGGTCGAGTTTCGAACAAGAAAGCGCGGAAGAAGCATGAACAGTCGGAGGTCCGCGCGGATCTGTTGGATCGGCGCTGGGCCCCACTGGCGGCGCCTCTGGCGCCGCCCCCGGGGAGGGGGGTCCAGCGCCGATCCAAGACATCCGCGCGGCTCCCCAGACACTTATGCGTTTCTGCAGAATTTGTTTCTTCCTCTTGCTCTTCTGGTGTCACGGGCTCGCGCGGTGTCGACCGACGCGTGAGGGTGACGCGGGTGGCTCTTGGCCCGGGCCCGCCGGAGACCCCCGAGCGCCAGCCTGCGCGCCTGGATGTGCCCACCCCCACCTGGCCGCCCTCCCTCGGCGTCACCCCAGCATAGTTCTATCAGGAGGGAAAAAAACACACACAGACACAATTATTCGTCGATTCCTAGAAAATATGGGAAAATATGGGACTTGGGCGGGAAGACGAACACCCAGAAAACAAGTGGCACGTGTGCCATGGCTCTTGCACAAAAAGGAAGGGGGAGGAGGAGGGTGTGGAGGAAGAGGGGGGGGAGAGGATGCCAGACATCGCAGAAGGAGTGAACAAAACAGGGCCGCAAGAGGGGCTCCAGAGGGCGAGCGCGAGGAGACTCCAAGGACCGTCCCCCGCAAGATGGCTTCAAAGACCTTTGACGGGTTCCCAGGAAGCCTCCAACTGACGCCCGAGAAGCCTACAGAGGGTTCCAAGGGGAGGCCTCCAGGGTCCAAGGAGGGCTGGAAGAAATTACTGAGCGGACTCAGCTGCTGGGGGCTCGCGGTGCAAAGTGCGCGGCGGCCTTGTGTTGCGAACGCTTGTCCAAGGCAGTCGCTTTGCACGCAGAGTCTGTCGGGTGTATTCTCGGGGGCCGGCTATGCGCCACTTGAATGGGGCCCCCCCCCACAGACCAGACTTTCGGCCCGGGGCGGCGGCGGCGACGACGACGGCGACGACGGCGGCGGCGTCGGTGGCGACGGCGGCGACGGCATCGGCGGCGTCGCGGGAAGAGAGAGGGGACGGGTAGGGAGGGCGAAAGGGGCAGGGCTGAGCGGGGGTGGTGAGAGGGCCGGCGACGGCGGCGACGGCGTCGGCGGCGGCGCGGGAGGTAAGAGGGCACGGGCAGGGAGGGCGAAAGGGGGAGGGCTGAGACGGCGCGGGGGAGGAGGCGGAGCGGGGAGGGGGGGTGCGGTGCCGAAATAAAATGGTCGGGGCGGAGGGGGCACTGGGCGGGCGCTGGAGCCGCGGGGGGGGCGCTGAGACGGCGCGGGGGAGGGGGCGAAGCGGGG